TTTGCTCCATAAAGTGCACTTTTGCCCAGTGTTCTCCAAATGCAATCCATATGATAGTGGGATTCCTCAATCTGAGTAAGTGCTTTGACTTGGACCTGACTATCGATGAGTTTTGCCACTTCTTCGACATAGGTTATATTGACGGAGTTTGGCAAATGAACCTGTCATAAGCTTTTTGATCTCTTGAGCAAGGGGGATGACGATTAGGCCAAAAAAACCTTGAAGATCAGTGGAGAGTAAGATTCTGACTCCACGTCTGAACTACATGTTCTAACTGCCTTCATTAATGGTAAGTGATCTGTTTCGTCCTTTGGTTCCTTTGTGATTTTATTGAGCTGCTCTTGACTTTGATTTATTGAAAGTCCTCATTTGTTTGTGTAGATTTGAAATTTGGCTCAACTACAAAGACTTCGTCAATCTCAACAGCAGTTGCAGCTATATTTTCCTTATTCCTTTGTTCCCAATATGCATTGATAATTGGAACTTGACAATTAGCTCCAATTCTATTGTAGACATGTAAATTTCGTTGCATGCAAATGATGCATCACAAAGCTCCATGTGGCATATGGCAAGCCCATCACAAATGGAAAAGTCATTAATAACATGTGGCACAAATCAAGCAAAGGAAGTTCAAAACTTCCACAAAATTCGGCCAAAAGTAAGAAATCTCCTTAAAATCGGCAAGGGGCCCAAATTGCTCCCAAAACTAGAAACAAAGCTAAAGCATCTTTAGAAAACAAGCAAGAATTGAAGATTGCTCGCAAAATAGGTAAGAAAGCCTTACAGATTTTGGCCAAGCAAGGGAAAGTGGCTGAAACTAGAAAGTAGCTGAAACTAAGACACAAAACATGCCTAAATTCTCCCATGGACGAATAAAGACACAAATCAAATCGAAATCCATCCAAAGGCAAGCTTTGAGAAGTCTATAAATACAAGGTCCTCAGATAAGCATAAAGGTCGACAATTTCTACATTGAAGGGCCGAAATTCTCACAAAAGGAGAACCTCTGCCAAAACTTTGAATACTTATACGCTATCAAAGCTCTCTTCGAAGAACGTACAACCAAAGCCGAAACATTCTCTTGAAGAATCATCAAGCACTTGTGCTAATTCCTTCAAGACTTTGTTACAAGCTCAAAACTTGTAACGACGTTTGATTCAAGATCAAGTCGCCAAGACACATGAATCAACAAAGTCCTACATCAACGACACCTTTGGTGCAGCCCTAAACTTGAGGTAAAGACTATCCACGCATTGCTTCAAGCTCAACACTTGAAGCAATTGTTCAATCGTTCATTGGATATTAAGTCATCGCGACCCTTGGATTGACAACCTACACATCTACATCAAATTTGAAGATTGAAAAGAGGAAAATTGTAAATAGAGATTGTAGCCCTACAAATTCATCAATACAAATCTAATTTGTACACGTGTTCTCGTTTCATTTGTTACATAATTTTTGTGTTTACATCTATATCCATTTTTTTACCAGTAGCTTCTCAACAACCTTTATATTCATTTTTCTAATGTATGTACTCGTGAGATTATTGAAGGTGGTAGCTTCTTCAACTTGGTTAGAAATACAAGAAACATCCATTAAAGTATCATACACAATAACATTGGATAACATCTTAGTTGCTTGTATGGTAAAAGCTTCACTCTTCAGCCTTATGACACTTAGTGTACCGGACCCCAACACAATAAAAAATCTCTCATTTCTCGAACAGTAAATGAGCAACAGCTAATCTAATACCACATCACCCCTTCCAAGGAAAAAGTTAATGAAGCAACCACAGATTCGTAATAAATCACATTCAACGTATAATTTGACCAATTCAACTACAATCAATTCGACTTTCTTTATAATAATCCTTTTTGTGGTAGACAATTCAACTACAATCAATTAGATGCTTTGTAGATGTATTTGGGAGAGACCCATTTGGTATAAGTATTAGTGAAGTACTAAATCTAGTATGGCTATTTATATTATTGCGTATTTACCGTCCTGACGTCACGTGTCTATTTTGGACATATCTCGAAATCAAGGCTCAATAGTAGCAAACAGCCGTTGTACCATCTTTGGTCGTTCAAAACATGCGAGATATAGAGATTAGAATACTTAAGTTTTGCACATTGGCCAATCTTCACGCTAACAAGCCCAAGAAGACGGCACTGAAGAGGAGGTCCAAGATGTCTTCCACATCATAATCCAAGAAGACAAAGAAGGCGAAATCCCTGAGGAAGATGTCACTGCTACGCCACCACAGCTCGAGGATGGGGGCGAGCCACGATTGATGATCTCAAGGAGCTCAACTTAGGCATAAACGAGGAGTACTATCAACTGCTAATGGAGTAAAAAGATGTCTTTGCTTGGACCTATAAAGAAATGCCTGGCCTTGACCTTACCATTGTCGTGAATCGTCTTGTAGTCAAGCTTGATTGCAATCGATAAAGCAAACTCAAATACGATATCAATCCAAGCTTATCCCACAAATTAAGGCTAAAATTGACAAGCTAATCGAAGTAGGCTTCATTCGAGAGGTGCAATACCCTAAATGGATCTCCAACATCATCATTGTCTTTAAGAAATCTGGACAAATACGTGTTTGCGTAGATTTCTGCGACCTCAACAATGCTTGCCCGAATGATGACTTTCCTTTGCCAATCATCGAAATCATGGTGGACTCAACCACTGGCCACGAGGCATTATCATTCAGGATGGATACCCTGGACTCAATCAAATCTGCATGGTTCTCGAAGATGAGGAACTAACAGCCTTCCGCACTCCAAAAGGTATCTACTGCTACAAGGTAATGCCCTTTAGCTTGAAGAATGTTGGAGCTACATATCAACACACAATGCTGAAGATCTTTAACAACATGCTACACAAAAATGTAGACTGTTACGTGGACAATGTAGTTGTCAAGACCAAAAAGAGATCCGATCATTTGAAGGGTTTACAAATGGTGTTCAACAAACTACGGCACTACAAACTCAAATGAACCCTTTGAAATGTGCATTTATCATCACTCTTAGGAAGTTCCTCGGCTTCATTGTCAAGCACCGTGGCATTGAAATAGACCAATCGAAAATCAATGTCATCTAAAGCATGCTCGAACTAAGGAACTTACACGAGCTGAAAAGTCTACAAGGGCGGCTAGCTTTCATCTGACGCTTCATCTTTAACCTCGCTAGACGCTATCAACCTTCAGTCGACTAACGAAGAAGGACGCTCCATTCATATGGGATGACGCCTATTGCAATGCCTTTGAGAGCATAAAAAGGTACCTAGTAAGCCTACTTGTCTTAGGAGCTCCCGTGCTTGGAAAACCGGTCATCCTATACATTGCTGCATAAAAAGGTTCCATTGGAGCACTCTTGGCACAAGAAAATGAAGACCAAAAGGAAAGAGCACTCTATTACCGATGTAGAACTCTCACTTGTACTCACCAATCGAGAAGATGTGCCTTGCCCTAGCCTTTGCCGTCCAAAACCTAAGACACTACATGCTGTTAACTACATTGGAAAAATTAAAGGGCAGTGAAGAATTGAGAAGATGAAGAGCTAGAGAGCCAATTAAGAAGAAAGGAAATGAGCTTTATTATCAAAAGACTTGAATGAATTACAATATGATTCACCACTCAGTTATATAAAGTACAAAGCTTAGCTCCAAAGCTAACAGATATAACCAATCATAACAGAAATAACTAACTCTATCAGTCTAACAACCTTTTGGCATGTGGATATTTCCAACATCCCTCCTTAATCTCAACTAGGACTTCCCAATTTGAGATTGAAGCAGACCAATCAATGGAGCCAAGTAAAAGTAACCCAATTTCCCATGTTTAGGTACGCCCATCTTCCAAAAGCTGAAAGCAGTATTCAAAGTACTTTTGTCAGACATCAGTAACTTCCCTGTTTCAAATGAGTATCATCTCTACTTCAAATGTTATCAACCTTGAATTACTAATCAAAATTTCAACAAGAACTATACTCCGGCAATCGACCTTAATGGAGTTGCACACAATAACAACAAACAAGACTTTTCAAGAACTTTACTCTAGCTATCAGCCTTTAAGGAGAAACACACAATATCTGAGACATAACTTTTCACTCCGACTATCGGCCTTGTGGAGGAAACAAACAACTTACACTGAGATAATGGCTTTAGCCTTTTATCCTAAATCAAGACTATAGAAAGATGGTATCGGCCTTGTTTTCTTTCACACAAAAAATCAACAAACCCAGAGCAAATAATCTTGAAGCATTTTTACAAACACATAGAGTGCAGAAAACACAAAAACTTAAGAAACATGAGATGAACGCATAACGCCGACTAAACTTCAAGAACTCGAACACCATAACTTTGATGAATCTTCAGCACCGAGAAGAACCTTCGGGAATAACCACCATAAGCGGAAGACGATAGGCACCAAGGAACGCATATGGCAATCTTTGTCACATTAAGAATTCTATGGCCATTTCTAGCTAAAAACCTCTTCAAGTGCAGAAGTCTCAAACAATTAAGAACAAACTATTCAACAGAAAGGAATGGCTATCGGCCTTTGTATTCCTTCAACAATCTCGTAGAAAAATGGCTATTGACCTTAACAAAGAAACTTGCTTACATGAAACCATATCGAAGAAACAAATTTTCACTGCGGCATTTAAGTAAACAGATAGAGTGCAGAATTTAGTAACAAAACCTGAGACTCAAGCTTGTGATTAGAAAACCCCATCAAAGAAACTCCAGCAAATCACCAGCTACCAGAAAAACCCCGGTGAACAGAAAGAAACCCTCAACAATCACAGCGGAAGAACAGCCCTGAAGATCCAAACCTTCGACATTGCTTCAGTTCTTGTCGAAAACCAGGTCGCCACTGACGATGAATCTCTATCTTCACTATGTGTTTATGTAGAACAAAGGTGTGGTGCCTCTTGACCACAGATCATAATCACAAAAAATAGAATTCAGAAAACTACTATGAAAACACCACTAAGATGAATGAAAACTATAACCCTGTGGAGCGAATAAGTAAGGGTGGGAAGGATCGACATACCAAAGGTGCTCAGAAAATCTCAAAATCTCTGCAATTAAGCAATTTACATAACCCTGGCTTTGGAGATACCGTTGGTCTTAATACCACCTTGGGACCAAAGCAAAGGAGACTTTATGCAGCTGCATGCGATGCTAATTCTTCAGAAGTTCAGGCTTTGTCTAAGGAGATTACAGATCTCAAGCTTTTTGTGGACCATTTTGAAAAAGAAAGATACTCTTACTTTGCAAAATTAAGGGATATTGAAATTCTTTGTCAAACATCAGAGTTGGAAGATATCCCTACTTCTATTCTTTAGAGTTGCATACAAATTTAGACACTGACTTCTTTTTGTGTCAAGCATCGACTTTAGTTCTGGACTCTGCCGCGTACGAAAACCACTAAGAAATTGACTTTGGCTACTAGACCTTCATCACAAAGCACACCGGACCCTGAATCTTGTCCATGGCCAACGCTGGTTCCGGAACTAATGGATCTCAGTTCTTTATCTGCACTGCCAAAACCAAGTGGCTCGACGACAAGGCTGTCGTCAACAAGGCCATAACACTACTGCCCCAAGAACAATTAATCCAACAAGAACAATCAACCAGAACAATCGTGATCCCAACAATCGTAGAAAAATCAACCTAAGAACAATTATGGAAGCACAGAAAATCTAATGGAAATTTGAAGAGAAACTAAACTAGAAATAAATGAAAAATAATGGGAAATGGAACCACCAGAATCAAAGACGTGAGCTTGGTGGCTTTGATACCATGTTAACTCCATTGGAAAAATTAAAGAGCAGTGAAGACTTGAGAAAATGAAGAGCTAGGGAACTAACAAAGAAGAAAGGAAATGAGCTTTACTATCAAAAGACTTGAATGAATTACAATATGATTCACCACTCAGTTGTATAGAGTAAAAAGCTTAGCTCCATAACTAACAGATATAACCACTCATAACAGAAGTAATCAACTCTATCAGTCTCACAACCTTTTGGCATGTGGATATTGCCAACACATGCATGCTTACACCATCCACTTGGTTGCTAAAGCCGACCTAGTCAAGTATGTTATGTCTAAGTTGGTTCTAATATAGTGACTAGCTAAATGGCCGTTGCTTCTCAACCAACACGAGATCATTTACGTCATAGCTAAAGCCATCAAGGGACAAGCCCTGACGAACTCCCTTGATGATCATCTAATCCCAGCCAATTGGAAAATCTAAAATGACTTGCCTAACAAGGAGGTGTTCTACATTGACATCTTCCCAACGTGGACAATGTTCTTCGATGAATCTGCATGAGCTGACAAAACGGGAGCAGGAGTAGTATCTATGTCACCATAAAGACAAGTATTACCTTGTTGTTTCTTATTAATCAAGTTGTGCTCCAACAACGTCGCTGAGTACCAAGCACTGATTATTGGACTCCAAATGGCGATCGACATGGAAATCACAACGCCAGAAGTGTATGGCAACTCCAAGCTCATAATCGATCAACTCTTGATTAAATATGAAGTGAGGAAAGATGATCTATTCCCATACTTCCAACTAGTAACTCAACTGCTACAAAAGTTCAAGGCCCTGATGCTAGAACATGTGCCAAAAAAAGAAAATCAAATGGTGGACGCTCTCACTAACTTGGCCTTAAGTATGGCGTTAGGAAAAGACGAAGATACAGACATACCACTTTGCCCAAGATGGGTGATCTCACTCGTCGCTGAAATGCTACTAGATGAGACAAACACCATCTCAGTACACCCAGTCAACATTAAAGAGTGGTAACAGCTGCTGATCGACTACTTGGAGCATGGAAAGCTTCAGGACGATCCTAGACACCGCTTTGAAATACGTCAACACTTTACTGACAATCTTTTGAATGAGTACTTCTAAGATGCCTAGGTGAGAAAGAAGCTAATCAAACCATGGAATAAGCATACTCAGGCGTATACGGGCACATCAGTCTAGACCAAGGCTACACTTCCAGCTCAAAAGAATGGGTTACTATTGGCCAAGCATAGTGAAAGATTGTCTGGAATAGCCCAAAAAGGTGCCAAGCCTGCCAATTCCATGCCAACTTAATACATTAACAGCCTGAACCATTACACCCTACAGTTACTTCATGGCCATTTCATGGATGGGGATTGGACGTCGTAGGACCAATCACACCAAAGTCATCTACAAAAGAAACCTACATCTTAGCCGCAGCAGACTACTTCTCCAAGTAGGATGAAGCCGTACCCATAAGGGAAGTCAAGAAAGAAACTGTCGTCTGTTTCATCAAGACGCATATCATGCACTAATATGGTGTGCCTTGCTACATCATCACCGGCAATGGAAAATAGTTCTCCACCCGATTCATGGACAAGCTCTACGAGAAATACTAGTTCAAGCAGCACAAGTCTTCTATGTATAATGCTTCGGCCAACGGTCTTGTACAAGCATGCAACAAAACACTATGCAAGCTCCTAAAAAAGGTAATCGGCTGAACAAAAAGAGACTAGCACAAAAGAATAAGCAAAGCACTTTGGGCATATAGGACTACACATAGGACTCATACCCATGCTACTCTTTATTCTCTCGTACATGGTTATAGAAGAAGGCTTGACTAAAGAGGAAAATGCAAAGCTACAACTTCAAAAGTTGGAAGCACTCGATGAAAAGAGGCTCGAAGCTCAACAACACTTGGAATGCTACCAAGCAAGACTATCCAAGGCATTCAACAAGAAGGTCCACCCAAGGTTTTTCCAAAGTAGAGATCTTATAAAATTAAGAAGGCCCATCATCACAACTCACAAAACAAAAAGCAAGTTCACATCAAAGTGGGATAGACCTTACGTAATACAAGAGGTCTACACTAATGGCGCCTACATAATCATGGCTGAAGACAGCTTAAAGATCGGCCCCTTCAATGGCAGATTCTTAAAGCATTACTAACCCTAAACCAAACAAGCAATGCTTCTTGCCTACAAGAGCCTAAACCACACACAGCACAAAGCTCCTCATCCGCACGAGCCTAAAAGGTGACAACAAAAGCTCATTGCCTGTGCGAGCTGAAACTATAACACGGCACCAAATGCTCCTCGCCTGCGTGAGCCTAAATTGCACATGACATAAAGCTTTTCACCTGCATGAGCCTAAACTGTACATGGTAACAATGCTCCTTGTTCACATGAGCTTAAAATGCAACTCTCAATGCTCTTTGTTCGTGCAAGCTTAAAAGGCAACAACTAACGCTCCTGGCCCGCAAGAGCATAAACTATATACAGAAAAATCACCGTCAAAATCGTCAAAACCATAAAAAAAACAATCCATTATTTCCTTTGAACTACATCATGACTTGATCCCTCCTCAACTGAAGGTACGTAGGCAACTTGAAACTTCAAAACTTCGAGTATAGTCACATCACCAACAAAAAAAATGCAAACACTTTGAACAATAAGGAGCCAAATTCAAAATGTGAATACTTTATTTCTTTAAAGGAAGAAGTTAGCTCCAAAGTCTTATTACCAAAAAAAAAAAAAAAAAGAATTTAAAGTACAAAGAATGGAAGACACTACTTGAAAGCTATGTCCCTAAAACTACAATGACGAAAGCAAGCCTTCCAAAGTCTTCAAAGTCTCCACATCAATGGGAGACAAGATGGGCAACTCCATAGCCACACCTTTCTTTTGCTCTAGGGGTGAAATCTCCTATTGATGGTCAGAAAATGTAGCTTCTTACTCCGAGAGAACACCCTGAAGTCGTGATGTTTCAACTTCCAACTGTTCTTGTTCTCGCGCCAACGCTTTTAGATACGCTTGGATGGATGCTAAAGAAGTCCATGTGACTTGATAACTTTCCCAAGTAGCGTGTTGAGAAGAACAAACTTCGGCAATCAATAAGTTTATTGCTAAATTTGTTAGGCCTTAACCTCTGGACTCAACTTCTTCAAGGAAATAACATGCAAGGAAGAATACACAGTTGAGGTTGCCATAAGTTCGGCAAGCTTGATTCTCAAGAGCAAGGAATCAACGTTAAGGTTGTCAATCGCCGAAATAAGCTTTGATAAGTCTTTCTTGAGCAACACAAAGTCCTCCAATGGGCACGTTGAAATCCTCTTCTCATTATGGCTCTTGATATCCATGGTCGTGTGAAGGAGAAGAATTAGTGCCACTTGCCATCCCCAAGTCTTCATGGTGTACTTTTAACCACTAACCTACGTAAGCACAAGTCACTGGATTACTCTTGAAGTCATTCTTGGCCAACAGGGTGATATAAGCATTTGTGCATATATATGACTTGCAAGGATTCCAACTGTGCATTTTCATTCAACTTGCCTGGCACATGTTGGACAAAGCCAAACTGCCTGCTGAAATGGTGAGGAGCTATGACTTAGAATAGCACCTTGTCGATTACTAAAGGAGCCGCCTTTGCTGAGTATTACTGGGAGTGGCTTAAAGATGTCTTGAGCTGATCTAAAGATGTGCTTACCAACGTGGACCTTTATCATGCCGTGTACGTATCTTTGTTTAGTTATGATCGCCAGCCTTCCGTCATTCATGCATTCTTTGAGTATTGGTGTTCAGTGACCAACACATTTCTCATGTCATAAGGGAAGATGTCGATTTCACTTTAGGATCTCCACAAGATAGGAGACTTGCTGATCCAGGGTAAGTTTTACGACAAGGTTGTTCCTAACGTGGAGGAATTCTCTTATTGCAATAGCCGAGGATTGTCTGCGAATTGCCGCTATTTGTTTTGGGCATATCACAAGCTTTTCCAGGATGCTTAGGGTAAATCAGGCATGAAGATTTCTTCATGGATCCGATTTTGGTATTGGGATGCCATGAAGTACAAAAAGCCTTCGAAGAAAAGTGGCTGCAACAAAACCACTAAGCTTTGTAAGTTTGTTTTCCCTAAAGATGACGTTAACTTTATCCGCCCCAGAATGTTTAAAGTGGCTAGCAAGACAGCTGCAGGTGAATCTTTCAGCCTTGCTATTTCAATCTTAGCCAATATTTATGATGGCTTGAGTGTTGTTTCGAACTCGACGAGCACTAAAGATCGTGTTGCAATACTTCCTTACCACTATGTGTACGGTTGGTTGGGTAAGTACTTTGGCACTCATTTTTCTTTGTCGACTTTAGACAAGTTGGGGCCTTCTTCATCAACTTCAGCCAAGCTAGGGCCTTTGATGACAAAGTACTCTTGTGTGCTTTCTGCAAAGAGCCTTGATGATTTGCAAGCGCAGGTATTGTTTAGAAGCTATGAAGGTTTAAGAATGGACCATCTAGCAAGGGTTGGCTTGGTGCGGCACGGCCTCATAGGTGATTG